ACTACCAACAATTGTAATTGTCTTTTTTTTACTGAATAAGGACAATTGAATAGCAGTGCAAACTAGATAAACCTTTTTAAAATTTTGAGTTTTTCAATATAATTTTTTAACATTTCGTCGTAGGAGTGTCACGTAACGTAAGTTTGGAAATACCCATATTTTATTTAATCATATATTTAGTCTACCTGCATTCGATACAATTGGAATCGAAGTGCGAATATGATCTTCAGTAATTCGAAACACAGTTGCAGGTATAAGGTGCGACACGAAATAATCTTCAGCTGATTAAATAAGCGTTAATTCGAAAATATCAATAATTGGTCACAACCCTTTGAACCCTGGAAAAAAACTGATTTATTCGCAAATTTTCCATAAATTTTGGTGCCCTCTGTAATTCGTTTTTTTTTTTTTTTAACAATGCAAGTTATGCTAAACCTCTTATAAATCGTAATAGGAACGCAAAGCAGAATACTGTGCAACTTTACTTCGCAAAAATAAAACATATAACTATAACGTTTACGTTTACCTTTAAGATACTCGTTTGCCATATTTTGTATGTATTTTTCCTGTTCAGGTAAAAACGCAATCTCTCTAATTCGAAAGCCTCATTAATTCGTAAAATATTACTGGTACCCTTGTGATTGCGAACTATCGGGATCTCACTGTATTTTATTTTGGTTTATGCCATTGCAAACCATTGCAATGGATTAACTAATTTTTATTGCGTCAATATGTATGTGTGTGTGTAAATATTTATGTTATTATTAGCGGGATTCATGAAAGATCGCAAAGCTGGCTACTCAGCTGAATACTTTTGTATGAAAACTTTCTAGCGACAAAATTGCGACACTTCAAAATTATTTGAGCTGACAACACCGGCACACAAACAAAAAATTAGTGTGATGTGCATTTGACCGGACCTACCTATGGTTATTTATTTCGACCCGCAGAATGCGAATTTGTTGAGCATGATTTGGGGTGCCAGCAATTAACTACTTTAGTAGGTTTTGTTCTGCGGCAGTTGAGAAGTGCATAAAAAAATGCATACCCAATGAAGCACGAGCGAATTATTTGTCAACCCAAGTGCGTGTGTGTATTCGCTGCACTTTGTTTTGGCCGGGAGTGCAATACAAGTGCGTGTGTGTGTTCGCTGTTCTTTGTTTATGCGGGAAATGCATAAGGTCCGGTCAAATGCACATCACACTATTTTTTTTTTTGTGTGCCGGTGCAATCATTGCAAAGTCAAAGTCGTGAAACATATGTTTTTTGTTTTATTGTTCTCGAATACTTCAAGGAAAAGTATATCAGTTACGACA